CCCAGCAGTTCAAAAGCATGTAAAAATGCAAGTAGATAAATAGGTACCACCTCAATGGGAAGGTAATAGTGTTCCGTGTCTAGTCGCGCTGGCCACATGATCATGGAAACTATCTTCGGACAAATGCACGCTCTGTGGCTTGGAAATGGGGATGAGCACCACGCCCTAGAGTCGGACATAACTGGACTAAATGTCAAGGGGAACCTTTACCTTTACCTATATAACTTTAATGTTGATAATGAAGAAATGGAAATTTTTCAAGTTTTGTATACCTGCATTCAATCATCAATATAAATGCAGCCAAGAAATCAGAAGACGACAGAGACTCATGTAAGCATGTCTCATTGGAGACAAAAAGGAAGATCACATATATTCCCAGTTATTATGTACAGATATGAAAGCTGGATAGTGAAGAAAACTGACAGGAAAGAAATTATTTTGTTTCAAATGTGGTGTTCGAGGAGAGCTTTACAGATGGCATGAATTGCTAGAAAGTAAATCAAGGCTGCTCTACTTTAGGCGCCTCATGAGATGCCAGGGGCCACCGGAAACAGCCGCAGTGCTGGTGAGGATTGAAAAAGATCAGGGATGGGATGGGATGGAATGACTCAAGAAGGGAACCACAGATTTCAGTCTGCAGTTGCTGACAAGGGCGGTAGCACCGAGAGGTCCTGTAAGGTGAACCCATAGGAAACAAAGGCTGAGGGAGGGAGGGAGGGAGGGGAGTGGGGCCACCTGGGTGGAAAGGCCCAAAGAGGGCGCCCCACTCAAGAAAGGGGAAAACCTGGATCTGGATGTGCTTTTACCCGTTGCATAGAAGAAAAATAAGTCTTCTATCCTGCTGCAGAGTCTTCCTAGTTAAAAATAAACTGCTGCACCAAAAATACAGTGCAGTATTTTTAACTTAGGAGCTCTGTCCAATGAGGGCTGTATCACTTTAAGCACCATGACCTGGGAAAAGATTTTATCCCCTCCACTTTGGGAATCTTGTTGGCTCTATCAAGCAGAAATCTACCCCTGGGCAATCAGATGGGGAAAAACAATAAACAGGACAGTATCAGTCACATGCTGTTTTTTTGTCTTCCAGGTTGACTCTGCCACTCCCTATGATGGGAGTGGGGGTTCCAAGACTCTAGTAACATTTCTTCTGTGGGTGCTGTGCTTTGAGTTCAGGTCCTGGATAACTGATCCCTTATTACAGTGTTTGTGCCTGTATTAAAACACTAACCTGTTCTGATTGATTCAGTAAATATTGCTGTTTTATGTCCACTCAGAAGCTCTGTCCTCTTCAGGGGATGAGTAATCTGTGCTGCTAGGTTTAGTGTAAGAAGACTTCTGTTGCCAGCAAAATTGTATAAATATTCCTGGTCTGAAGGTAGAGAAGGGGTGAATTGATCATCTTGAATTCAGCAAATTTATCATCCAAATTACCTTGCTTTCCCCTTTCTAGTTGATATGCAAGTTCCCTTGCACCTTTTTGTGCATGCATTTTTAAAATGTACAATTTTAAATGTATGTACCTGTGGACTGAAACATTTTGTACGCATTTCAGAACTTTAAGCAGTTTTTCATATGTGCACATATTGTCCAACACTTTTTTCATTTCATGGAATGCACTATAAACTCAGAAATGTACAGTTTTTCTGATTGCAAAGTGTGTTTGTTCTAGGAGGTTATGAATTGAGTAAAATTGTTCATCAGGGGGAGGGACCCTTTGGCAGGTTGGATGTCTCAACCATTCTGGATATGGCTTAATTTCTTGCCCTGCCCTGAGCTGCTTCTCTGTGATATTCTGATGCAGAATCAGAACTTAAAACAATATTAGATGTTTAATTTAATCAAGTAAAATTAATGTCACTAATTAACCAGTTGTTGGAAACATTCCTTTTTTTAAACAACAACCTCAAATTCAACTGCTAAGCATGCCCACTAGCTATGCTATCCGTGAGACTGCGGGAGCTGCAGTCTAGAAAGCAAATTTTCCCAGGCCTGTTACTAATAAGTCTTTTCTCTATAACTCTCCAGCCTCTCCTTCTCAGTGGCAATGGGCAACTCTCCAGCCATACCTGAAGAAGAACGGTCTTCTCTTTCTTTTGAAAAGGGAACTGCAATTGTAGGTCTCAGTTCCCTATTTTATGGGAGAGTAAAAAAGGTAGACTCAATTGTCTCTTTTAACAGTTCAAATCTGAGTGCTTAAGGGCTAAATTTCCCCCTCTTTCCTACGCATGAGGCGTTCAGAAGTGGTTTACTGATAGCTTTTAGTACCATGCAGTGATTGACTGCTGAATGGTAGGCGCAGGCACTAAAGATTATAGTCACCAATAGCCACAGCTACAAGGTGATTCCAAAATTGCATGCAGCTTGTTGATCCATATCCTCCTTTTCCAACATAATGCCTTGGACATGTGTTGAGAGTTATGGGGCTTGTAGTCCCCAGTTTGGGAAAGGCCGACCCACATGCACAAGCCAGATGTAGCACTTTTTATCACCACTTGGAACAGGGTTTTGCACCTTCACTCAGGACAAATCCACCTCAAAATAATTCTCAGAACAGGGATTGTTCACAATAGTGTATTGCTGCTGGGGAAATTCATTCCCCCACTTTCAGCCCCCCCATATTCAGTGAAGATTGCAGCTATACACAGAGGGAACAGAGAAACTAAGAGAGATTGCAGATGAGATCAACCTCCCTGCAAATTATTTTTTCGCTAAGAGAAAGATCTGGTGCTTTAATTCTGAAAGCCCTCATTCCACTATAACCATGTTTCCTCTTCCTACATATTAATCAACATATCATTTTAGATAGGTTTACAGTGAACTAAATCAACATACAGTGTGATTAGAAAGAGGACAACGGAGCACTATCCAGGCCCTGAAGAACAAGCAAATCAAGCATCTCTGTTAGTGCATTTGAGCTGCTGTTACTCCTGTGGTGGATCCTTCTAAAATTCCATGTACTGTCCTGTCTGCATTTTCCTCTTCTCCCTCCACTGATGCCATTGGCAGTCTTTCTTTTGAGCATGGGCAGTTGCAGTGGTGAAGCAGGCTTTGTAGATTCTGATGCTGCTCTGTGCGCTTTGCTCTGACAGCTACAGATTTAAATCAATAGGGGTGCAACTCAAAGTGTGATTAAAACTGAATTATTCATATCCCTTTTAATCCCAGCCTGCTACACAGTCTGTAATCCCAGAAGAGGAGGCTGGCTTCTGCAGTACTAGTAGGTATTACATATCCAGGACTGCCTGGGTTGGAGAAGGATGGGAAAAGGGAGACAGGATTACTGATCAGAGAAGAGGCCTGCATTGTATTTGACTGAGTTTATAAGGAATTGGTTACAGTTACCTTAAATAAACTGCTTTTCATATTTCTCTCCTTGTCCTTTTTAATGAAGGCAAAATAGAAAGAACACAAATAAGAATGATATTACCTCTATTGTTTTGAGTTTCCAGTTAAATAACAAAGGAACGTGTGGCACCTTTAAGACTGATTTACTGTAACAAGGAGCCTTTGGCACCTTAAAAACTGAGCAGTGTTGTTCACTGACTTTTTATTAGACTTCCCCAGATGCATAGAATGTCTGAGAAAGTGGGCTACACTCCACAAAAGCTTGTGCCAAATAAAACTTATTAGTCTTTAAGGTGCTACATGAGCCCTTTTTTTGCTGCCCCTGACTTAACACAGATTTAGAAATATTTACTGGAGAGCTATTCCTGCATGAACTGTCATAAGTATAGAGAATACTTCCTCAGATAAAGCATCTGAGGAAACCAGTTGTCTTGTCAAGACTGGCAAGGGCTTCTTTTGGACTTTGGTGACAATGAAGGCATCACTGGAGGAAAAGCCACTAAACCATATTAAAGAGACAGGAGAGTCAGTGCACAAGGACGCCCTCTGCATTCTGGGAGCCCCTGGACAATGAGAATCAGTGGCTGCGCAACACCTCTTCAGAGCAGGTCTACATTAAGGCTCTGTGACATCCAAGAAATGTTCATTAGCAGATTTTCATATGTCCAACTTGTTGGATGTTGATGCTTTCCTAGTTGGCAAAATGATAACAGAGCACCTCATTAATGATAACCATGCTGTACATCAAAGGGCAACAGAATCAGACGTCAACACCTAACACTTGCTAGGACTGTCCATTTAGTTAGATGAGACTGGTTTCTAGCAGCTGAATCCTTCTCCAGGTAATCTCTGATGATGTAACAAATCTATTGGTCTTAACTATGCCACCTAAAGGTTTCTTATTTGCTGCAACAGACTGTTAAACTGAGTTTTATCACATTCTCTTATCGGTTCTAGGAATGGTTGAATTCTGACAGATTGTAACTGAAGGTCTGATCTGTGCTGTCTTCCCTGTTCTCTTGCAGCAGAAGCTGACACCAGTGTCTTTGCCTCCAATTCCCTTCAACGGAAGAAAAAGGGACTCCTGCGCCCGGTGCACCAGCGGGCCAAGCCCCACTTGCTGATTGGCATGCCACAGGACTTCCGCCAGATCTCCTCCATCATTGATGTTGACATTCTACCAGAGACCCACCGACGTGTGCGGCTCCATAAGCATGGGTCAAACAAACCACTGGGCTTCTATATCCGGGATGGAGTCAGCATGCGTGTGGCCCCTCATGGTGTTGAGAAGGTGCCTGGCATCTTCATCTCCCGTTTGGTCAAGGGGGGTCTCGCAGAGAGCACTGGGCTACTGGCTGTGAATGATGAGATCCTGGAAGTCAATGGCATTGATGTGGCAGGAAAGTCACTGGACCAGGTCACAGACATGATGGTGGCGAACAGCCACAATCTCATCATTACTGTCAAGCCAGCCAACCAACGTAACAACGTGATCCGAAGCAGCAAAGCTTCAGGCAGCTCGGGCGTCTCCACGGACAGCACTCCTAGCCAGCAGACGCCTAGCCCAGCTTCCCAGTACCTGAGCAACTGCAGCGCCGCCGAAGGAGAAAGCGATGAAGAGGGTGACCTTGTGATTGAGAGTGATTTGCCTGCCAGCTGCCCCAATGGTGGTCTGCTGGAGAGCTTGCAGCACAGCTTGTCTCTTTATAGCTCTCAGGGCTCCCTGCCCTCCCTGAACAGTCACAGTGGCAATGGCAGTCCAATCCGGGGCAGCCGAGCGGGGAGCCTCCGTGAGGATGGTACAGTCATCACACTATAGCCCCCTGGCATCACCTTCCCCATTCAGCCCCGATATTTGAATCACAACATTTCCAAGGTCAGTATGGCAGCAGCCTTCTTCCTGTGCAGTGGAGCTGAAATCTGGAGTCTGATATGCTACTGAGGCTTGCCATTCCTGACCCTCACTTGCACATTGTTTGCAAGCCTAACGGTGCTCTTTGTAGTTCCCTGGAGTAAAGATGGCAGGCAAGACTGGAGCAACAAGGGTCTAGTAACTTTCCCTGAAGCTTCTGCCAAGAAGAGATCTTCCTGTCCCTACTGAACTAAACAATGGGTGTTCTCTTACTTCTGTCTCTGGGATTTTCCCTCTCCAACTTGTGCTCATGCAGAAAGGAAATGTGCCCCTTTCACCAGGCCACGGTCCTGCATTCACCAACTGTGTTGACTCTCATGAAGTGTTTGTTTTTAGTTACATGCATCACAGATTAATATATTGCAACAGACTATTAAAACATTTTTTAAAGAAAGAAGTAGTGGGGGTTTTGTTTTAAAGAAATGTGTCCTGTTGTAATTTTTAAAGGTGTGTTGCATCTGGGAGAGAAGATGAGAGACAAAGGGTGAAATGGGAAGAGTTTAGCTGAGTGAATATTAATCTTATTTTAGAACTGCAGGACTGGATATGGAGACAACCTGAGAATGGGACAATCAAACTCAATTTGCTTTGGTAAGGGAACATGGTGGATTAACTCCTTCTAAATGGCAAAAAGGGAAATCAGTGGAAAGAGTGGCTGTTCTTCCATTGACTTCTTCCATTTCCCTTTCCCATCCTGCATGCCAAAGTTATGAGTTCCATATTATTCCCCTATCCCTTTATCCTTCTGCAACAGTTAGACAGCCAATGTTTTTCTGCACATGCTTTTAAAAAAATTCTGCTAGTTAATTCAACTACAAGCACCGATTCACGGTCATAAATTCATAGAGTTGACATAGGTGAACCAAACCTTTCTGAGGAAGTTTAGAGTTCAGCATCTGACAGGTTAAAAAACATGGTCAACTGTAGAGTCAAGGAAATGCCAACTGCTTTTGAAGGATTCAGTTAATTACAGAATAACCCTGTAAGTCATTCTCAGAAATAAGACCCACTGAATTCAGTGAAGTGTATAAGTGGCCCTTTAAGATAAAATTATTTTTAAAAATACAGTTTACAAATCACATTGTGGTTGGAGTTCTAATCAGTGTGAGCAGAATACAGGAAAAAGGAGTAGGGTTCATTCCCATACCATGTCCACGCCAAGTCAGGTATTTTATGACTGCAGCCTTGTTGTTGTTTAGTCGTTAAGTCATATCTGACTCTTCGTGACCCCATGGACCAGAGCACGCCAGGCCTTCCTGTCTTCCACTGCCTCCTGGAGTTTGATCAAATTCATGTTGGTTGCTTTGATGACACTGTCCAACCATCTCGTCCTCTGTCGTCCCCCTCTCCTCTTGCCTTCACTCTTTACCAACATCAGCGTCTTTTCCAGGGAGTCTTCTCTTCTCATGAGATGGCCAAAGTACTGGAGCCTCAGCTTCAGGATCTGTCCTTCCAATGAGCGCTCAGGGTTGATTTCCTTCAAAATGGATAAGTTGTTCTCCTTGCAGTCCAGGGGACTCTCAAGAGTCTCCTCCAGTACCACAATTTAAAAGCATCAATTCTTTGGCGGTCAGCCTTCTTTATGGTCCAGCTTTCACTTCCATACATCACTACTGGAAAAACCATAGCTTTGAGTATGCGGACCTTTGTTGGCAAGGTGATGTCTCTGCTTTTTAAGATGCTGTCTAGGTTTATCATCGCTTCCCTCCCAAAAAGCAGGCGTCTTTTAATTTTGTTGCTTGCTTTCACCATCTGCAGTGATCATGGAGCCCAAGAAAGTAAATCTGTCACTGCCTCCAAATCTTCCCCTTCAATTTCCCAGGAGGTGATGGGACCAGTGGCCATGATCTTAATTTTTTTGATGTTGAGTTTCAGACCATTTTTCTGCATCTCCTCTTTCACCCTCGATGTTCTTTAATTCCTCCTCACTTTCTGCCATCAGAGTGGTATCATCTGCATATCGGATTTTGTTCCGGCAATCTTAATTCCGGTTTGGGATTCATTCAGTGCTGCATGATGTATTCTGCATATAAGTTAAATAAGCAGGGAGACAATGCACAGCCTTGTCGTACTCCTTTCCCAATTTTGAACCAATCAGTTGTTCCATAACTGCAGCCTTAGAACAGAACAAAAACCAAAACCATAACTCACCCCTTTGTTAATTTCAGAAGCATATCTGACTGAGGGAACAATCAAATAAGTATTTGTCCCACTGTTTGTGCCATGCTCGTCACTGTTCCTTTTGATATTTATTCCATCAACTACACAATTTTAGTACTAACTGTGAGTAGAGCCAATATTGTTGCATGAATATGTGGAATATTTTGTTTGGCTGACAGGGATTGAGCCTTTTTTGTAGCATTTCCATGCCATGCATGTATGCTTTTGGTGTATGAGATTGTCAGGATCAGTCCTTTGGGACAATTTTTGAGCAAGTCCAGATGCAAAGAGTGGGGTGACGTATTGGAATGAACCTTACTCATTTTTCCTATTTTCTGCTCATGTTAATAAGGACTACAATAGCAAGTGATTTCTAAACTATTTTTAAAAACATTTTTCTCTTATGGCACTAAACTGATAAGAGCACTAAACATTACAAAAAAAGGACCTGAAAGTAGGCAAAAGAGGTGACTGACAGTGGCAGAGAAGGGGATGATGGGGGAAGGGGTTCTCTGTGGTGGTTGGACACCTTAAACACACTGTCCCAGGATAACTGAACATATCTGTCTGAATGGCAACAGTGATTGAAATGTCAGGGTGTGATTTGTATCCGGTTGGGACAAATGTTTGTGTGAGTGCACCCTAACTATCATAGCTGGGAACCCACAGATTTCGACTGTTATGCTAACCAGTGACAAAATGAGAAGCCAACGATGCCCTGAAGTGAGGAACCTTCAGCCCTTCCAGTTTTTTTTTACTTTTGCTTGTCATGTTTCCTGGGCTTTCCAAATGCCTCAGAATCAAACTGAAGTGGCAGAAATCTGCTGCTGAAATCTGAAGCAATGTTTGTGTTTGTCACACCCAGAAAAGGAGGATGGACCACCTCTTATGGTGGAGCATGGTGAGTATGAAACTTTTCAACTGAAGTTTCTTCAACAAATTGTAATGAATGTATTGCCATTTTTAAAGCGCCATTTCAATGTCTGGCTTTCATTCCAGAGTATGGACCACTCTACATTTAAAATGTTTTTAAAATGAAATTGGAGCAGATTGAAGCAAAGTGATATCTGTTAAAAAATAAATGGAGCAAACTTGTTCCGTTTTGCTCAAAGGAGTCATGACTAGATGTAGTGGGAAGGAACTGCAAGGAAGCTGAAAACTTTAGAAGTTGTTTAGCAATGGAACTGGCCACCCTGAGATGTGGGGTGAAATTGGCTCTCTTTCACTGCAGGCATTTATGCAGAGGCTGAGGGCGCACCTGCCAGGTATGGTATAGTTACAATCTGCATTAGGCAAGATAACATCGGACAAAGAGCCAAGAAGTCAAAGAAGAAGAGCACCACATAAGACAACGAAAGGTTTCTACTGTCTAAGTTTTTTAAATGAAGATTTTTGTCTCTCGGTTTCTGGTTGGAGCATTTCTTTTGAGTTTGTTCCACACCTGTGGCTTTAAACACCCCTTGCAGAACTACAAGCCTCCTTACAAAGGATTACAAAACCTTTACTTTTACTTTATGAGTACTTGGACAAAGCACGCCAGAGAGGAGCGACTGGACGAGAAGCATTTGAGATAAACACGGGAGACAGATTGTCGTCAGTGAGAGGAGCAATCCTCAAATTCTCACCAACCTAAAACACAGTGTAATTAGTGAGAATGGGAAATAAACCTCATAGATCAAGCCCAAGTCTTCACCCAGCCAAAGCAGGGAAGCAACTGAAAATAGACAAGCTTCTAACAACCTCAGTGAGTAATTTAATTGCTGGACTCCACCCCCATAGCCTAAGCAGCCAATTTGCAATATTGGGGGATGAAACACTTCCAATCATTGAGGGGCTAAATGCTGACTCTTCCCTGCACTCCCCTGTTAAGGCTGCTTCTGATGCCGCTATCGAACATCTGCCTACCCACTTAGCAGAACATTGCCTGCTCACAGCTCAAACTGTCACCGCAATATTTAATAATCTACAAAGGGTGTGTCAAAAAATGAATACAGTTGAATCCGCTCTGGGGAAACTCACGGAATCACTGACCCAAGCACCAAGAAACCATCAAGTAAAGAGGAATATGCAAGGCAAGCAGATGGGGGAAAACAACAGTATTGATCCACAAAAAAACCCCAACTCCAACCTGCTCAACACTTAAGGGAGGCTGCAAGGAACACGAATATCTTTGAGCCTACTCAGATCCTGCTGCAAATCGCACCAATCTCCATCAATAGGAGGAGATGGGATTCACATGAGGCAGTTTTAACTTCCCTAAGTCAACTGTTAATGATAGAAGTACAGTGGTGCCTCAACGTACGAACTTAATCCATCCCAGAAGATGTTCGTAAGTCAAAAAGTTCATAAGTCAAATCAGCATTTCTCATTGGAATGCATTGAAAACTGATTAATCCACTCTGGCTGTTTTTGTTTGTATGCAGAGGTGCCATTTGTAAGTCGAAGCATTAGTTCCCATAAGAACTAATGCAAACCCAGTTAATCCATCCTCTACCACTAGGGGGAGAATTTTTTTTCAACCTGGTGACTTAGGTTAAAAAAAAGGGCAGGAAAGGAGGGAGGGAACAAACACCTTTTAAACAAAACACCTTTAAAACCAAGCAGCTTTAAACCAAACCAAACACCTTTTAAACCATTTTTTACATTTAAAAATTACAGTACCAGGCAGTCCAAAGTTCATTTCCTCTTTTCCCCATGTTTTTTGTTCATAAGTCAAAGCTCCATTCGCAAGTCGAAGCAAAATTTTGCAAACTAAGCTGTTTGTAAGTTGAAATGTTCGTATGTAGAGGCATTCGTAAGTCAAGGCACCACTATGCACAAAATAGACCTAACAACCATTAAATGACTTCCTTACTCCAGGGGTCAAAAGAGGGTACAATTCTCCTTTGAACATGCAGCGATCCCACTCATGCTATTCAAAATGAAACGTTTTCTAGCCAATTTTCAGATCAGACCCATTAGAGTTTTCTCAGATACATCTCATATATCCCTGTTTCAGAGAAACTTAACACAAAGAGAGCCTAGCACTAACAGCTGGGAAACCAGGTCAGAAACCAAGCCAGAGGTCCTGAAAAGTAACCTCATGTCCCCAGCAGCTCTGTCAACTCTGCAACCAAGGGATCAAGCACTTAAACCTAAGAAAAGGACCTTTCAGGAGACTGCCCTCACTCAATCTGAAGCTCCACCCTTTGATAAGGAGGCCTTAGCTACTCTTTTTCAGTACCAACTGGGAGGAAACCAAAATCAGCTTGGCCTCTCTACAAATATCAGCTGAATCCTTGAGAGATCATACTGTTATGTCACTCATTCTTACCCCACCCAACCATGAAACCCATTTTCAAGCTTCTAGGATGATGAGCCAACAGAAGCGGGCAAATATCTCCACACAGTTGATGGACTGCCATCCAATGGACCTATGCTTCTAGATCCAGAAGATCTCAAGGACAACTCAA